ACTTTTTATCCAAAACCGAAACTTTTGTGGAGAATAGGGAAGCGTGTGGGGTCATTTATGTAGCAGATTTCGGGCGTGCAATAGAGAAAGGTTACTGTTATAAATTTTTCAGTTTTCAACTGCTAATAATTAATGTCTCCTCATATTGGGTGCCTTTCTTCTTTTGGTGGGCTGAGGGGACTATTGTTACAGGGACATTTTACTGTTTCAAATTATTTTGTTCAACAAGCTTAATGCGGTGATGTCAGAGATGACACCTAAATCAGTTTAGCCTTAAGAGTATTTTACTACAATTTTGTTTTTGATAACCTTTGGATATCCGAGCTAACTTAAGCGGACTTCGACTAATCCCACTAGTACCTGAAGTTTACGGTCGGATACTCACCTCAGTGACCCTGAGGGAACTTGAATTGGTGACCATTGGAGAGCAAATCCAATTATCATGAAAATTATCAGCTCGAAAGTTGGACACCACACTAGGATCATAACATGTTTGGTAATCAGGATTACTATGTTATCAAGAATAATAATTGATAAGGTAAGATAAGACAAGATAAAAAATAATAATAATAAATGTAAATATAGAAAATATGTAAAGTGTGTTTGGTAAATATGTAAAGTGTGTTTGGTAGAAATTAAAATATGATTAAAATTGAAAAACTAGCCGTTATTGTTGACTTTTATTAGACGAGTGAGACCCAATAACAGTTATATTTTCAATTTTAATTGGATTTTTAGGGCGTGTTCGGTAGATATTAAAATCGGATTAAAATTTAAAAATTAGTCGTTATTGTTGACTTTTATTAGACGAGTTGGATCCAATAATGACTATATTTTCAATTTTAATTGAATTTTAATCACTCTTAATTAGTGTTACCAAACAAGCTCTTGGAGGGGTGCACTTTCAATGAGTTGCTTTGTTTACTTGCTGCAGCAAAGTTTGACTACATAATGAAAAGGATTACAAATATCAATAGTGCCATATGTGTATTATTTTTTATATTTTACAACATGGCAACACATCATTGGATAATTTAAGTTTTTGATAATTTTTTCACTCAATCAACATGTGTCAACACATGTCATGTCAGCCATAATGTCAAGAAAGAATGTACAAGTGACATTTTCCTATAAAAATATTTCTGAAATTTCGTCTTGATCAGTTTTTAAAATCGATATTGAAAAAGATTAGCTCTAATATTCTTTATGTAGGAAGAGAAAAATATGTGAGAACAACCTAATAAACAATATAATTAAATCCTACAAATTGATTATAAACCTTTTTGCACTTCTACTCGAGTATCTCAGTCAAAATGTCTCTACATTGACAAAAATGAAAAGCTAGAATGGGTGGATTATCATATCTTACACGAGTTCATCTGGCCAACTTGTAATTATAAGTTGTCTCTTAATTAACACGGAGGATTGATCTCCTAAGAGCATCTAGACAATGTCTGCTATCGTAACAGCCTATCATGGTTATTATCAAATAGCACTGAAGATGAGTTTTCTTAATCGATCTATCTATTTTAGTTATGTGGCAATTTTTAAAGCAATCAACATTAGCAATAGAGACGTTCCAAGTAACATTGCTTCAATGCATTAAGCAAATTGTCATCTAGGTTATATGAAAATAGAAAAACTTTCGTGAAATTAAAGTCTAATGAATAGATGACTAAGTTCAAATTTCAGCGTTAGTGTGGTTCAAAATTAGGGACAAAGATTTTATCGAAATTTTGTATTTGTTGTTTTATTCTTAGTTGAGGGGTTATATCTTTTCATGTCCTCCTAACATTTTTTTTTTTTTTTTTGGAAGAACATCGTCAAGACAATATGTGTTAATTAATGGGAGACGCTCTTAGCTTATGCTAAACAACCCTCATAAATAAGTAAATTTCCTTATTTATCACATGAAGCTTCTCTAATAACAGTGTCATTTATGTATTTTATTTATTAGGAATGCCCTACATAGTGAATTAAGTTTGATTTTAATTACACACGACACGAGATTATAATATATTTTTCTTGCAATAATGTCTATTATGTTATGGTGTAGACATTTAATCTAATATTATCAATAACAGAGATGGCACCAAATAGAAAGCTAAAAAGCATGATAATAAAAAAGGTAATTATTAGCATATAACGTCTTTACTTTTCACTATTATTGTGGAATTAAATTTCCTTATTTATCACATGAAGCTTCTCTAATAACAGTGTCATTTATGTATTTTATTTATTAGGAATGCCCTACATAGTGAATTAAGTTTGATTTTAATTACACACGACACGAGATTATAATATATTTTTCTTGAAATAATGTCTATTATGTTATGGTATAGACGTTTAATCTAATATTATCAATAACAGAGATGGCACCAAATAGAAAGCTAAAAAGCATGATAATAAAAAAGGTAATTAGCACATAACGTTTTTACTTTTCACTATTATTGTTCTTTATTTCAACATTTCATTGGACAAAATGTCATTTTCATCCATTTTCTCAATTAAAAACTATGAAATGACGAATATATCATTATGTTTAAATAAAACAAAAATAAAAAGAAAGAGTTAATTGTAATCATAGTCCCAAATTTTTAAAAAGAGTGGAAACGAGTCCCCAGTAAATTAATAAATGGGTAATTATCACATAATGTCCATACAATTCATTATTAATGTGAAAACCGTCTATACCTTTCATTTTGTTGACATTTTCACATTTAATTAAATATTTGATTGTGCAAACCATTATTTCTATCCATTTTCATCCAATTTCTCAATAACGCTATGAAATGACGAATATACCCTCATATTTAAATAAAAATAAATAAAGAACTAATTGCAACTATAGTTCCAAAATTTTTAAAGAAAAGTGCAAAAGATCCCCAAATAAATTATTAAAATATTAGAAATTATTATTTTTTTTAAAAAAAAGTGCAAATGAGTTCCAAATAAATTATGAAAAATAAAAAAATAAAAAAGTGCAAACGAGTTCCAAATAAATTATTAAAAAATTAGAAATTTAAAAAAAAAAATTATTTTCTTTATTTTTTTTTCTTTTATTTAAATAGAAGAGTATGTTCACCACTTAAGAGTTTTTTTTTTTTTTAATTGAGAAACTTGCTGAAAATGTATAGAAATGACGGTTTGTACAATCAAATATATAATTAAGGGTGAAAATACCAAAAACTAAAGGGTAGAGATGTTTTTCACAATAATAGTGAAAAGTAAGGATATTATGTATTGATTACTCTTTTAATAATTTATTTAGAATTTGTTTGCACTTTTTTAAAAAAATTGGGACTATGATTGCAATTAGTTCTTTCTTTTCTTTTTGTTTTATTTAAATATAAAAGTATATTCGTCATTTTATACCTTTTAATTGAGAAAATAGATGAAAATGATTTTTTGCGTAATGAAAGGTGGAACTATGGATGAAAATGCCAAAAATGAAAGGTAATGATGTTTTCCACAGTAATAGTGAAGGATAAGGTATATGCTAATTACCTATAAGAAAACATGATTTAGCCAATTTACACTCTCAATGCATGTGCTTTATCTACTTCTTGATATAATGTTTTGTTATAACATAGAAGAAAAATAGTATCAGGGGCTGTCTGGGCTAGCTTGAAATCAGAATTTGGAACGTTGAGCCGCAAGTGTTGACCAATTTTATGAGATGATGGCCCCACTTTTTGTAATGTAACGGTAAAAAAAAAAGCCAATTTTCCCTGATTTTAAGCGCTAGCAGATAGCCCCTCAATATAATTCTAAACATGTCTCAATCACTTTGAAAGATGATAAGCTTAATATTTTTCTCTTACTAAGACAAATTCATAATACTCAATACATATCTATAGTATTAATTTTACCCACAAATTCAACAATCTTTGCAGTTGAAGAGGAAAATGAATAATATAATTTGACTCTACAAATTTAACACTAGATGTTATATCTATCACACTACTCATATATTTATCTATGGAATTGTAAGCTTCTTTGCACTTTTAGTCGTGTGGCTCAATCGAAATGCCTCTTAATGGATAAAAATAAAAAGTAGGATGGGACTTTTGTTAAAGTTGAGGGGTCTAGTGGTTTATGTCCAAATTTAAAATCATGTTAATATATTTTTTACTCTTCTCACCTCACAATATTGGTGGCAATGATTTGGTTGGTCCATTGGATGAGCCGACCCCAGATCAATTGACCTATCCTTTAAAGGTCGAGTCAAGTTGAACCAACTCGCAAGTGCCAGTAAGGCCAACCACACATTAGCTCACGAAGTGTATGAGCCTAAGAGCTGGATTTAGCTCAATTCTCCTTGCCAAAAATCGAGCTTGGTTCACTTAGGGTCCGAGCTGCCTATAGGTTGAGCTCCACAATGCCCCTTGCCCAATGCAACTGCCCTACATCACCACTTCTCCCTAACTCAAGATGTCAAGTACCTATATTTTGAATTGGGTAAATTCCTATATGAGTTCCTAACCTTAATCAAGTATGACATTCTTGTCCTAATCTTTAGTTTATGCCATCATGTATCCTCAACCTTTTAGCATTGTGTTCATAATGTTACAACTCGATGAAAAAAATCTAAGTAGATGTTAAAAGATCTTGCGATAGGCATGTGGTAAATGATTGATGTGTATTATTATCAAAAAATAACCTCCCTTCGCTTCAAAGTAGACGAGGATTATTTTTGAACAATTATATCCACCACACATTTATCACATGCCTATCGTAGTACCTTTCAACATTTTCTTACTATTTAGATTTTTTCATCGAGTTGGAATCCCGTGCACACAATGTTAAAAGGTTAGGGACGCGAGATGATGCAAACTAAAGATTGAATATATGGATGTCACGTTTAAGAAAGGTTGGGGACTGAAGGAATATACCCCCCTTTCACATCTGATTTTGCCCTCGCCATCCCCAACGGCCAAACGTAGACCTTCAATTTGAGTAAACTAGGGTTTCAAATTTCACTTGCTATTCAGATTTCAATGGCATCAATTGATCATCTCGACGACGTCAGCGCTCTTACTCTCAATACTCTTGATAACCAGTTTTGTATTAATTTATTCGTTGTATTTTACATTTTTTTAAGTACTACATTTCTTGAGTGATCACAGGACGATGATTTTGGAGGCGATTTTTCAGGAGGCAACAGTACGAGGCGGCCAGGTGTTCTCAAATTGCTCGATTAACTTAATAAAAACGCATTCTTGTTGAGTAAGTACTTATTTTTTCAATATTTTTATTGTTGGGAATGTGGTTTATTAGCTAATAAGAGAAGCTTTGGAGAGCTTGACGATGATGAAGATGATATTTTTGGCTCAAAAAAGGTACCTTTTACAGCCATTACCAACATGTATATATACTATAACTTATCTTTTGTATTTGCTAGATTTCTGCCTTCACTATTTACCCGGTTTTTTGGCTTCACTGCTGAATTATAACGTATACATGTGATTATGAACAAGATTATGTACGGTGTGGTATGGAATTTTAAATTAAGACGCTTTGTTAAGGATTATGCATATTGTAGCTGGTTGATATATAGCGGAAAAGGAAATACTGGGTGGTTAAGTTTTTGGGGCTTTATCTATCCATTAAGTTTGTGGAGTCTTGTTCCTTGCTTTAGTGCCTTTGTTACGTGTGTTGGATTCTGAAACCTGACTTCTTTTTGTTTGTTGACACTAAAGGCTAACCAGAAAGTAGAAGAGACTGCACCAGGCGTGGCAACAGGAATGATTTTATCTCTTCGCGAGAGGTATTGTTTTTCATATTATAACAGAATATATTTTTCAAAAGAATATGGACTAAATTCATAAAAGGATAAAAATTAATGTCCTTATCATAGAACGTGCAAGACTTATGTAGTATCTTTCTTGTGGCATGTATTTGCAGTCTTCAGACCTGTAAGATTGAACTCAAAGATTGTCAGGTATGTTCATTTTTTATGCTGATTATGCTACTTCATCTTTCTGGCTACTGTGCTTTCTCTTGGTTTCTCATGTTCTAGTTTGGTTAGCCTGAAATATTTTGCATTTAATTTTTCCGAATATGAGTCAGTAAACAGATTCTAGCTAAATTTTCTTGATGATACTAAACTTTTTGTTGGTAAACTGGTTGTGGTATGTTGCTAAAATGGTTATTGTATGTTGGTTTCAGACAGAACTTCAGGAGGCTAAGTCTGAGATTCAAGAATGGCGTTCATCTTTTCAGAATGAGTACTTCATACCCTCAGGCGCAACTCTTGGTTAGCTTATCTTTTATGTAGCATTTGTCTTGGAAATAATGCTATTTATCATTACAATAATGATGGAATATCGGTGATGTGTTAACTAAGGTAGAATAATGGGATATGCCAGATTAATCCCACTCTCTCTCGTGAAAATTGAACCGTTCTATCCCATTATTCAACCTAAGTTGCCACATTACCGATTTTTCATCATTATAATGATAAATAACATTACTCTTGCTTTGGACTCTTGTAACTAAAGCGTCATTCACTTTTTGAATTATTTCTTCCTCTGAAGAGATTTAGTTTCCTACTTTTGTGCTAGACCCAAAATTAGTAGTCAACTACCTTCAGAACCTGAGATCCTCTGAGGAGTCTCTCCGAGAGCAGGTTTGTGTTGAACACACTTATGACTTAGATTTACAAGTTTTTAGGTAATAGTTTATTGAGATTTTCTTAATCTTTTTGTTATTAGCTTGAGAAAGCAAAGAAAAAAGAAGCTGCATTCATTGTGACCTTTGCGAAACGGGAGCAAGAGATAGCTGAGTTGAAGGTAAGAAGTCGCCAATTGCCAAGCTTTTCTTAATCTTTTTGCATGGTATGTGATGCATAAAGACTAGTCTATTGTCGAGCTAAATTTTTATTTTGTCTTTTCTGTTCTTTACCTACATTCTTACAACCTCTTCTCTGAATTCTATACAGTCTGCAGTTCGAGATTTGAGAGCTCAACTCAAACCACCGTCAATGCAGGTGCTTTGCATGTGATTTAATTTGTCCTCTGTGAATTCATTTCATTGCATGACTTTCACTCTTGCAGAAAAACAAAATATGATGCAGTCTGCAGTTTGAGATTTGAGATGTACACTTAAGTTTCTCTCAACTTCATACTTGTTTATTTGAGATGTACGCTTGGGTTTCTCTTAACTTTATACTTGTTTATTTTTCATGAGGATAAACTTCTCCAAAACCATTGATTTCATTCACTGTCGAAGTTTCTCTATGTTGTTTCTTCTACTTCTTTCTTTTTGGTTTTGACATGATTTGATCAATATCAATTGAAAGTTCTGCTTACCTTCTTACTAAATGTTGTGCTTCCATTGCAATTAAATTTTTATAGAAAGAGGTAATTTACTGATTAATCAATAATTTTTTCTTCATAATATTTTCCATTTTTCTAATCTTTTGACATTATAACTGGTTTTCTTAAGACCTGCAGCAAAAATGTTACCAATCAAATCCATAGTGAAGTGCTACAAATCGTCAGCTCGACCTATTTATTGTTGTTTGCTTGGTTTGTTTAGTTTCATAATCTCGGCGTTATGTGGATTCTATGTAGGTTAACCCATGATAAAAGGATATTCTATGAGCTGTAATATGTATGAAGACATTAACTATCCTTATAAGATGTGGCAACAAAAAGATGTTAAGTACTGCTCAGTCCTAGCAGGGAAAAAAGGAAAAGAGAAAAAAATCATCAGCTGAAAATAGTTTAGAAAACTTTGTTTTTCTAGTGGAAACGTTAGAACTGATTTGAATGCTATCTTATGAACCCCTTTACTTGTGTAACCCCGAAACCAAATAGAATGGAATTAAAAAATCTTTTGATTAAAGCTGATCCTGTAGATAAATTTCTATGTTACCCTTCTTTGATGATATTTACCTTGGATAAACATGCAGGCAAGGAGGTTATTACTGGACCCAGCAATCCATGAAGAGTTCACACGATTGAAGGTACTTCCTTTTATACTTTCAATGCTAATGAAATGTTTCAAGATACTGCCGATATGGGTAATTTCTAACTGCTGTTATTTTAGGACTGCCTTGTAGGTTTGTTCATTTAGATAGAGTCTCTGGCTCTCTGCTAAAAAAATGTTTGATTGTAATTGTAAACTAAAGTACTGTACAATACTGGATGAATATTTAGGAGGAAATATTGTTTTGATTATAAAGCTGCAATAATCAATTTTTGCTTATATATATGGAGTATTTCAGATAATAATTTGATGCTTAAACTATCGATTTTTAGAGATTGTGCAATTTAAAAATTGGTTTTATTGGAGAACCAACCTATTTTTATACTGGGTACTTTAAAAAATTAAAAGCAGGACAGTTATCTTTGCAGTCAATCAAAGTGAGGATAGCCTCATGTGGTTATAATTGGGCATTGCTGATAGTACAGCATAAGTTGCAACTGAGACTAATTATGATGTAAATGCTAGTAAGGTAGGGCACAGGAATGATGTTTATTTGCCCAGTTGTTGTGTTGTCTTAACACTGAAAAAGAGAAGCGCAGAGAACATTTAGCCAAGCTTAAAAAGAAGTAGAAGTAATTTTTTATTTCCAAATACATGTTTGGTAAATTACTTTTTTCTAACTTTTAATTAAGAAAAGTTACTTACTTAAAAATAGCTCTTACCTGAATGTCAAAACAAGTAACTTATTCCAATTTTGATCAACAATAAAAATTACCTATTTTAAAATTTATTTTCTTATTAGTGAACTTAACCAAACACGACCTTTCTTTGAGATTGGATATCTAATTTCTAGCTGGCTTAATTATTGAGGATCTCACTGATAAGAGATGGTCTACTAAGACGAGCAATGACCGGACTTTATTGACTGCTACCTCATCAACAATCTAACTGGTCGCTCCTGTTATTGCTACACTGATATTTCACAGCATTTGTAGAATGTTTCAGTAATTGAAGCAGGCAGACTGACTTGTTTATAGTACTTTTGCTGATTATTCTTTAACCCCATTTTTCTCACCCATTGGGTTGCCGGTTTTACCACTTCAATTTGCGAGTACCGGGTGGAATTCCATAATCATGGACATTACTTTTCTTTATAGATAATTCTCTAACAAGTTGTTTTAGGACCTTTTTGACCTGTTTATTATGCAAGCGAAATGCATACCTGTTTGTATAATTAATCTGACTATTTTTGAACGTATGCCAGAACTTGGTGGAAGAGAAGGATAAAAAAGTAAAGGAGTTGCAAGATAATATTGCTGCCGTCAATTTCACCCCACAAAGTAAAATGGGGAACATGTTAATGGCAAAATGCAGGACTCTGCAAGAAGAAAATGATGAGATTGGTAACCAAGCTAACGAAGGAAAGGTACTGGCAACTCATTTTGAGATTGTATCTCATCTTGTATGCCGAATTTAGTGATATGACTGGGATCTGCTGGTGACATACAGATAGTCATAACACAATGGAGAAGAGTCGCATAAATTTATATCCATTACTTTTAATGCTGAAAATTAGAATAGACTGAAACCCACAATTTTGTATGATGCATAGATTTAACTGTATTTTTGTCCATGGAATTTGTTGGAATTGCTCTGTAGAATGACAACTAAATTTTTGCATACTGATTAATGTCTTTTTTTTTTTTTTTAATTGTTGTTGTTTCTGGTAGATGCACGAGCTATCAATGAAACTTGCTTTGCAAAAATCTCAGAATACTGAACTCAAAAGTCATTTTGCAGGTGAGTGTTGTCATAATGCTAAGCATTCCTATGGTGCCAGTTGAATATCACCATTTTATGCATCGTATATTAGAAGCATATTTACTAGCATTATGCATTTGCTCAACTCAATAAAGTTAAATCTAACACTTACCAAGGGTCGGCTACATATATCCTGTTCGTCGAGTCTGCTCGATAAGAGCCATCTCCAAACATAAGCTACAAAGACTCTTCCTTTTCATTACAATATTTAATGCAATTGCAGGATTATGCAAGCAAGTGGAAGGACTGACTAACGACGCGGAAAGATCAAATGAAATGGTATTCTCCTATTTGCATCTCTATAGATTGTCAGTATTTTATGCATATTGGCATGTTACCTTGGTATATCTGGGGAGATGGATTAATCTTTAATCCTTTTTGATTGACAGATAGAGGATAATTTGAAATGTAAACGAATAGAATGAACTTTGGAACCTAAAATAAAGGCAGTATATAAAGTTCTTGGTCCCATGAACTCCTTGCATCAAAATCAATCATTTAACTATTAAGGGTTATTTGAAAAAGCTTTTGATGAAAGGTTTAGCAGGTTTTGATAAAAGTTGTTTAACCTCCTGTTTGGTAGAAATTAAAATCCAAATTTTAATTTTAGTCAAAGTCAACAACTAATTTTAACTATAGATTTTATGAGTCCTACAACTTTTTAACCACACATTTCTTCATCTTTTATTAAAATCTATTAAAAATCTGATTTAAATATCCACCAAACATGGGGGCTAAATGTGCGGTTAAAAAGTTGATAAAAGTTGTGGGTCCAATAAATGTTTTTAAAATTGATTGTTGATTTTGACCTCAACTTTTTAGCAACGTTTTAAGCTTTCCCAAACAAGCACTTAGATACCAACTTGTTTGTTTAGATATGTTATATCTCAAACAGCTCAAGAACAATTATTATTATTATTATTATTATTATTATTATTATTATTATTATTTCTTCTAAATAAAAATTAAATCTAATCCCCCTTGGGTTCGAAATGCCACTCCAATTTTGAAGTATATATGCTTGCTCACATGTTCAAGTACTACAGTTCAATTTTTTTTTGCTTTTTGGGAGTCTATCCAGGCACATATCGCTGCTTATGCACACCAATGCCCGAATGCATAGAACATATTCCTGGCCTATTTGTGAACTTTCTTGTTTATTGTTCCTTCAAGTAACTAGATAGTTAATTCATGTTCTCATTTATTGAAGTCTCCCTTCACTGCAATACGCTGGCATGAAATAATATAGTTAGGAAGTAATGGGCGTGGAAGCAAGGCCTCATAAAACCATTATGACTGTATTGGAGTGATCAATAATAAGAAAGAAAAAGTAGCCGAAATCTTGTTTACAATACAGTCCAGTAAACATGTATTATTCTTCCCCACGAGTTGTATTCTAATTATGATTATTATAGGTGGTTATCTTGCAAGAGAAGCTTGAAGAGAAAGAAGATGAGATAAGAAGATTAAAGGAAGAGTTGCAGCAGAAGAGAATGGTAGAGGATAAGACAGAATTAGCTTCTGATGACATTACCAATAACGAGGGAGTTCCACCAGGGGAAGTGAAAACTGAAGACCAATGAGTAGTACTGTTTTTCTTCCGCATTTTATGTACTATGAGCATGTATTATTGCTTAAATTCATCATCATAAACCATTTATTTTATGTAAAATTTTGGCATTCATTAGTGGCATATTTTCATAATGGTGGGCATGCTAGTGATGGAAATCAGGAAATGTAAGCTGAGTCAACTCAATCGGGGTATCGGGTTATGAAATCCAAACTCACAAAAGCCTGGGCCTTAAAATAGCGGAATCATCCTCTGTATAACAAAGGAAAATGTGCTTCTAGCAAGTAGTGACTACCATGTAATGCACATCATGTAGTCGGGGCATAACTGTTATATCCGTCGTCATTGATGTCATTGTCTTCCATGAATGCAGTCGGAGCATACTCATATCTGCCAGACATTGGGGCGCCTATTGTGAAATGGTGCATTAGTCAATGAATTGCTTCGTTGAAAAATAGTCGTCTACGAAGTTTTGAAGGTAGAAGTTTTCTTAGTTAAAAATGAAATTGTAACAAGTTGTCTTTTACTACGTGAACAACACTAGCGATGAAAAATGGCTTTAGCCGCTCTTCTTTCTCTTACACTATACCACGCCCACGCCCTGAAATATGTTGATTTATACCTGCTTACTGATGTGAAACAACAAATAGAGTCCCTCATCGAAATTGTTAGTTACTTGCAATATTTTCTGGATAATTCTCCATAAGAAAGCAGCAAATCAATATAATGTATGGAGTGCCAAATCATGGATGCAGCATATCAAGTTGAGGATATCATTGAATCCTGAATTGTGGATCGATTTCAGGAAGTGCAAGAGAAAGTGGGGAGCTTTACGACCTTCGGCAATGAAATGGAGAAAGTAGTTGAAGAAATTGGTTTGATAAGAAAAGGGCAGAGGTGATCGGGGACGAGAGTGTCATCCACGAAGATTTACAGCCCAGTACCTCATTGATGGTTGCTTCATCAAGACTCGAGTGTTTGCTGCGCATTTGGAGATACATATTTCTCCCTATAAGTGATATAAGAAATCATGGTTGAAGCTCTTGATTGTACTAAAGATGAAAGAAAGTTCAAAGTTTGAAGTGGAGTTGTGATGGTAATCGAGTCATCCAAAGTCTAGAGCTGTGGTGATCAAGTTACATCAATTAAGTCACACGGAAATGGAGCTGTGGTGATCAAGTTACATCAATTGAGTCACGCAGAAATGGAGTTCTGGTAATCGAGTCATATTAGGTAAAGTCTTCCTCTGTTCTTAAAGGTTTTGAGCAAGTGTTCAAGATGGGTTTTCCGGCCAATGACAAGAGAATTGAATATTGCAGTATGAAGAAGTCAAATCACAAAGACAAATTTGATAATTCTTTGAAATTGGATCTGTATTACGTGTAATTGAAGAACAGTGGCACCTACCCATCAAAGGGGTTCGATGACGGTATCAAGACGCATTACAGATCTGATGAATTTGAATTAAGGTGGAGATTATTGGGAATTTGACTCAAATTTTGAAATAAAGAAAAGGGTAAGAAAGAAATTTACACTCAAAGTTGGGGGACCATAATAGTAATTTCTATAAATATCTAATCAACATTATTAATTGATGAAATGGGATGAATAGTGGGTATTCTTAAATTCATTGAAACTCCAAAAATTGGGTCACTATTGTAATATGAGGACTAAATTGTTTCTTTCAAAAGATCGAGGTCAACTTTTTAGAATAGAGTTGTCACTTTGCATATAAACTTCATAGTGTACAAAAATCTCAAATCGGGCTAATCCCTTTATCGTTTTTACAAATGAATAAGAGTGTGTTTGTATGGTCGTGCTCGGATTGCATTTATCAATGTATTTCTTCAAATTACCAATTTCACCAATTTATCAATGAATAAGAGGCAAGTGTCCCTGCTTCGATTCAACAAGTAAATTTCAACGTTTCAGCATTACATTAGGTATAACTTCGAACTCCAACTATGATATAAATATCTATAGTTGGATTTGGGGGACTATTGTGTTGGTAAAAAGCCTAATAGTGATAGGAAGTGCGCTTTTAAGAAATTTGGCTCTAGATAGAAATCCATCGCATGACATGAATAATCATACATGGACTTGGAGGACTAATGTTATGTCTCGTCACCTAAGTTCCCACGTGGCTCAGCCGTCCACCGAAGCACCTTGTGCCGAAGCCATGAGGCATCCAACGTGGAGTAGGTCTACAAATAATTAGACTCGTCGAAGACCATATATTAAAAGACAAGTCTAAGGTCCAAATGAAGTTGCTTTGCAGAAGTGACGATGTCCAACAAAGAAGAATCTGAGGCTCAACTACGACTGATGACGATCCACGTTTGAAGATTTTAAATTTATGAAATTATTTTAGAATGATTGATTGAATTGTTGTAATGAGTAAAATGTTAATCTTATCGGAATAGGATATGAGGTGGCCGCCTTTTTTGGACATTTAATGCACCCAAGCTAGTGGAGTCAAAATTGAAACCTAAAATGTGATGTTTCGATGAAGGAGATGATGTCACGTGTCCTCTCATCCAATGGTTATTATTGCATATGTAACACTATAAATATCCTCATATTTGTGCTATTTAGGGGGTAATGAAAAAGTATTGACTACAAACCATATATATTCTCACTTTCTAATTAATCTAGTGTTTTTAGTGTTTGAAGTACAATCTTGATTGTGAGTTTTGTTCTTAATTTATCGTTCATTATTGTATGAGTTGTCTCATACCTTTCGTCGGAGCCTGAACATTTCTGCCTCGTATTATAAAGCTTCTCCCACGTTCATACCATGTTTATTGTCAATAGACAATCGTTCCACGCGTGTTGGAATGAGCTTGAGAGAACGCAAGTAGGGCTTATATCTATTATCCACGTCAATCGTGCAAAAAACAAGGTCAACACATTGAAACTCCAAAAATTGGGTCACTATTGTAATACGAGGACTAAATTGTTTCTTTCAAAAGATAGAGGTCAACTTTTAAAATAGAGTTATCACTTTACATATAAACTTCATAGTCTACAATCGAAGTTTATTTTCGCTACAGATTCTTTTGATAACAAAAAAGAAGTATTTTACTTACTATTTTATCTTTAAAATTATTGTTAGAGGATATTCAAACAATATTGTATAAGATGGGTTTTTTATATTTTAATTTAGTTGGGAGCATTCTTTCCGATTAAAAGAAATATTATCATGAATTAGTGAAAATATAATTGATTTATGAAATAATATATTTATTTTTCAAATATGATTGTTAACAACTTGTTTGTTTACAAAATTAACAAATGAACAAATACATTTGTATAGGTGACGTAAGAATTAAATTAAATACTTCAAGTTCTTGTAAATTATAAATTTGGTCGTCTTGGTTCATTTACAATATGATCGTAAGATACTATGAATTAAAATATTTTGTTCCTCGAAAATGCTGAACTTTTTTTTTCTCCGTAGTGATATTTTCTTTAACTTTTATTCTTATTCTTGTCATTTTCACGCCGTGTTAAGTTAGAAAAAATAAGTTATTCGTATCATAATACTAAATTGCGGCCAATTGATTATTAATAAATGATTTTAAATAATATTTTTATCTTTGGCAGCAATATTACCATTAGACCTACCATAGATAAATAAACAACAAACGCAAAAAGCATAACCAAAGCGGATCTTGATGATCCTTTAAAATATAATACTAGAAATCCCCAACATACACTACTTGGAAGCAATTACAAGATTACATTTAGAATTCTCACGTAGTCATGAGAACCCACTACTGAGAGAAAAGACTTGGGCATTCAAAAAGTGGAATCCACCTCTCTACGTATTTGGATAATATTTGAGGTCACCCTTCTCTTATCAAGTATTATGTTTTTTCTATTGAGCAAAAGGGCCAATGGCTACCATGTAATGAGTACGTTATGCAGCCGGGGCATAATCATAATCTCCATCGTCGTCATCATCATCCCCATCACCTTCTATAAATGCAGCTCGTGCATAGTCGTGATCTCCATCACGTTCAACCATAAATGCAGGATTATAATTGTAATGTTTGGGGTTGCCATCGGCACACCTCTCGTAAAATGACACATTAATGCTCTTCGAAACTAGAGACATTTTTGTATGCAAATTTTGAGCTGAAAAATGGGAAATGAAAAGTATAGAATTTGATGGTGTGAACTGATTTGAATGGAGATATGAAACGATGCCATGCATATATATGTGCCAATGGAAAGGTTATGTAAAGGTTTGCATAGGGTTCACACGTGGTGAATGTGGTGTGGTATATGGAGGATGTAGAGGAACTCATGCCAAAGACACGTGGCTGCCACATGGCCCAGCCACGTCGGAGTTTAGGGTGACATGTGAGATTGCACGTGGAATTATAATTCTCTATTTTGGTGGAGAAGAGGAAATGCATCTTTTGTAGGTTCATGGATGCTACTTTTTTGCTTGTGGGTGTAAAACTAAAGTAGAAGATGCCTATTCTTTTTTTCACGTGGGAGTAAACTATCATCATTAATGCGTAACTAGCTTTTAAATTTTGGTCGAGTGAGTAAATTGTTAACTTCACTACTGGCAAGTGAAGTTAGGGGTTGTTTGATAGAAGTTTTAGCAGATTCGATAAAAGCTAAACATGATAAAAGTAGTAGGTTCCATTAAATATATATTTAAAATCAATTGTTAACTTCGACTTCAACTATATATATAGCAACTTTTAAGCTTTCCAAAACAAGAATTAGTAAGCTGTACTATACAAGACAATAATAAGTATTTTACTTGCTCTCCTTAATCTATCTAGTTCAAAATACCATAGATGACATGCATACACGAGAAAGTTGCAAGACTTGGTTGGTTTGGCACAAGGTCTAGCACGTGGCTGGCTGACGCAGGATTGTGTCTAGAGGATGTGGGAACCTCGACCCATGTACATTCTGGTCCACCCACAAGAAAATCCAGATGACAGCACAAGTTGCATAGTTGTTGTATATTATGTGGAAATGCTGCAT